ATTTTTTTTTTTTTTTTTTTTTTTTTTTGTACTGGGGATCAAATTTGTGTCCTTGCACTTGTGAGGCAGGCGGCAACACCACTGAGCTAAATTCCCTGGCCCCCAGATTCATTTTTGATACATACATTCCCTTCTTTTACTCTTTTTCTTTCTCTTAAAGAACTTGTCTTTTTGTTATCATATTTTAAAGCAAATCTCAGACTTATTATATCCTTTCTTACTGTAGTATGCCTTTCAAAACTGATGGCATTTTGGATTTAACTACAAAGCATTAGAACCCCTAGTAGTAATCAGTAAGCACATATGAAGATGCTTGGTGTCATCACTCAGTCAGCAAATGCAAATCATAACCACAAGGGAAAAAAAATAAAGGGCCAGGGATTCACCTCAGTGGCACCATGCCTGCCTCGTAAGCGCAAGGTTCTGAGCTCAATCCCCAGTACCAGAAAAAAAAAAAAAAAAACCCAAAACACAAGGAACATCATTTTGCACCCTCAAAAATGGCTGTTTAAAAAAAGAAATGGAAAAATAACAGGTATTGACAATAATATGGAGAAACTGAAACCCTCGTGTATTTGTAGTAGGAGTATCAGAGAGAGAGTACAGTGCCCTGAAAAAGTATTTGGTGATTCTTCAGTGTTAAACACAAAATTTAGCATATGATGCAGCAATTCCACACCTAAGCATATATCCAGAAGAACTGAAACATTTGTTCAAACAAAAACCTGTACATGAATGTTTATGGTACCTGTATTTATAGTAACTAAAAGGTAGAAACAGTGCAAATGCCCACCCATCACTTGAACACATAAACCAAATGTGGTCTGTTCACACAATGAAATATTCAGCTGTGAAGAGGAACAAAGCACTGACACATATAAGAACGTGGGTGAAGCTGGAAAACATTGTGCTAAATGAGCTGGAAGCCAGTCACAAAAAGACACATGGTGTGGGATTCTATTCATATGAAATGTCTACAATGGGTAAATCTGTAGAGAGAAGGCAGATTAGTAGCTTCTAGCATGTGAGGAAACTGGGGGACATGGAGTACTGCTTCATCGCTATGGGGTCTCTTCCTGAGGTGATAAAAATACTCTGGAACTACATAATTGTGATGGTTGCGCAACACCCATTATGAATGGGCTGAATGTCTGAAGAGTGAATGTTTTAACTTGCAACAGTGATGGATTTTATATAACATATATTTTACCACTTTAAAAACTCCCTTTAAAAATCAAGATTAATTCCTTTTATCTAATGCCATTTCATATTTAAATTTTCCTGGCTGTCTCAGGGGGGTGTGTGTTGCTTTTTTTGCATTGCTGGGAATGGAGCTCATACATGCTAGGCAGGCACTCTACCAGTGAGCCACACCCCTAATCCAGAAGTGCTCTTTCACAGTTGATTTGCTGGTATCCAATCCAAACAAGGTCTATGCCTTGCATGTGATTGCTACATTTCTTCAACATCTTTGTAACATTCGCCATGGGACATTAAAGTATCCGCACAGTTAGAGAAGGCAGCACAGGAACCTCTAGGTACACAGCACTGAGCTTCGATAATTAAAAACTAATAACCACTTTAAAATTTTGGGGGGCTGCTGTTACAACTCAGTGGTCAAAAGCTCACCTAGCATATACAAGGCCCTTCGTTTTATCCTCAGCACCACAAAAACGCTAAAGTCAAGGAAAGAAAAGAATTGTTTTTAGGCTCATGGCAATACTCCTGCCTCAGCCTCCCGAGTGCTGTGATTATAGACGTGCTGTGCCTGGCTTTTAACTTTTCATTTTGAAATAATTTCATACTCACAAAAAAGGTTGCAAAAATGGTGCAGTGAATTCCCATGTGACCTTCACCCAGCTTCCTCAAATGTCGATGCTCAGACCATACTATAGAATGATCAATTGAAGAGATTCATTTTAGTGCAAGACACCTGATTCAGAAGCCTTATTCAGATGTCGTCAGCTGTCCACTGGTTGCTTTGGGGGGCATGTTGCATATAGCAGTTATGTCCCCTGGTGACCTTTACTCTGAGATAATTCAGTCTGTCTTTATCTTTGCTGGCTGTCACGTTTTCGAAGCACGATGGCCAGTTGTTCTGTAGGACGTCCCTCCATTTGGTTTCCCTCATGTTTCCTGGCGCTTTAACTTAGATGATGCAGTTTTGGCAGGGATCGCAGAGAAATGTTGCTGTGCCCCTCCTTAAATCATTTGACTCCATCTTTAGTGAGGGTGACTTTTATCACTGGGTTCAGGAGTTTCTGCTAGGACCCTTCCCTGTGAAGTTACTATTTGTGCCTTTTAATACGTATCTTGAAGGAAAATACTTTGACACTATGTGGGAATCCTCTTTCTAATCATTTTTCGCCTCCTAACTTGAGCATCCATCAGTAATTCTTACCTGACCCAGTCATTGCTGTGGTATCTCCCAAATGGCACTTTGCTGTTTCCATCATTCTTTTACTGTAAGGGAGAACCTTCCCTTTTATTTCATGTGCTTATTTGCTTGTATCAGCATTGACTGAGAGTATTTGTTACACTATATGAATTATAGTATATTTTTATCATTATTTTATTGCTCACATTGCCCTATATTTGGTGATTGGGACATCCTTTAAGTTTAATAGCCACTTGATTAATCTATTCCCCCACTTACTCCTCCCCCCTAGATTATTTTGAATCAAAACCTGTAAATTATCAGTTCATCTGAAAATATTTCTGTATATCTCTAAAAGGTAGAGTTTATTTTAAAAACATAGATAGTACCATGATCATATCTAAATAGAGTGAACAATAAGTTTTTAACATCAAATATCCAGTCATTGTTTATATTCTTTGGTCTTATAAATGTTTTATGTTGTTTATGGTTTGTTTGGATCAGGATTCACATGAAGTCTGTTCATTGTGACTGGGTGTTACCATTCTTAAGTGTATTAATCCCTCCTTTTGTTTTTCTTGTATCTTTGAAGAAGCAGCCAAGTCCTTTGCCCTATAGAGTTTTCTGGGGTCTAAGTTTCGCTGCTGTCAGCTCAATGGTGCCCTGTAACATGCTCCCTGCTCTCTCTACTTTCTATGTTTTGGTAGATTCAGAAGCTTGGGAAGAGTCAAGTTCAGTTTTTATGAAAAGACTCTTTTCTACATGGTGCTGTGATGCCCCATTAGGAGGCACAGAATATCCAGTTGTGTGCTTGTGCGGTGTATAGTTCTGTTAATGATCAGGGCCTAACTCCACTAATGGTGGAGTTACACAATGGTGATATTTGAATCCTATCATTCCTTTTTCATTTTTTTCTCCATGTTACTTATGCACAGAAAGACTTCTCATCTGCTACTTGTTACCTTGAAGCTCACGTAAACACTAGGTAAAATGCCTGTTTCTCTCCCTTTATTAGTTTTTTTCCCCCTTTTTTCTTGTCCTGCAAAGCATTGCTCACAGCTCCATTAGAGAAGTAGGCTATAAATACCTGTTACAGTGTGTCTCCCATTCTAGATAGTACCTTAGTGATCTGCAACTATATTCTTTTATCTTCAAATCTGTAATGTCTTTCACATTGGTGAGCACACAGTAGATTCTTTTTTTTTTCTTTCTTTAAGTTTATTGGTACATTTTAGGTATACAATAGTTATATTCATCATTGGGAACTTATACTTTTATATGATGTATCTTAATAGGAAAGTAGTGGGGTTTTTTGTTTGTTTGTTTGTTTGTTTGTTTTTGTACCAGGGATCGAACTTGGGACCTTGCGCTTACCAGGCAAGCAGTGGAACCACTGAGCTAAATCCCAGCCCTACATGACATATCTTGATTCTTATTTTTACCCCATTCCCCTGCCCTCCCTTCAAACCCTCCACCCCTTCAAACCCTTCACCCCTCCCTATTTACAAAGACTTTGTTTCCATTTTTTCCTGTTCTCATATTTATTCCTTTCCCCTACCCCTCCCACTTCCCCTACCCCTTAAGACCTTTTCTTCCTATTTCACATTGTCAGTTATACATTTTGATCCTTATTTACACTTTTAGTTTCTCACACCAGGGAAACTAGTTGGTATTTACACGTGTTTCCTATTTATCTCCCTTTATTAGTTTTCAAAATAAGGAGTTGCTTCTCTTGCATTCTCCCAAGGTGACAGATGAGATTTTTAAAATACACATATCATTATAGACTGATAGATTCACACATATTGGTGTGTTTCAATCCATTTCAGTTATTATCTTATTGATGTTCCAATTATTTCAGCTTTGACCCGTGGGAGCCGGCTCAGGTTGGCCTGTGGGTCCTTCTGACCTGACCCCTGTGGTCCCTGGGAAGTTCTTCACTGCCTGTTATGACAGAGTGCTCCACACTTGCCTTGTGCATTTTCTGCCTTTGGTCTGGATCCACTATCCTTCCAAGGAGCTGCACTTAGTTGTACTTTTGGTGGAAAATAGTACTGAGAAACCATAATTGGGATATCAGCAGTTCTCGTTGCTACTGGCTTGGTCTCATCATTTTAAAGCCTTTTTAGTCAACAAGGCTCAGAAGAACATACATATTTAAATACAAAACACATCCTGAGTTGGTTCTGAAGCTTCCAATTGAGATTCAGCCTGTGGGTTTGTAGTAATTCTCCTCTCTGTATTTTTCCTTTCCTTCATATAAATTTCACTTCCCAAGAACATAACGTAATCATTTGCTTTGCTTTGGCCTGTTACACACATGAATATCGAATCCCAAAAGCATGCTGGGTGAAAGAAGCCAGACCCCACCAATCCTGT